ATTTCAATAGGAAATCATCGGTACTTCCAAAATCAGTGGTAGAAATATTTGATATGCATGCACAGCATACTGGCATTGCAGATATATATTGGAGGACTGTGGTTCTCGTACATGTTTTTTTTCAATTAGAGGAGTAACTTATATAGTACCCAAAAAGAACGGAAAAGGATACAACTCAGTCTAAGACGTTTTGGCCAATATCAAGTGTACGAACCATCTAGAACATTATGACGTCGACACTGGCGATGAAACTTAGGCGGCGTATTCATGCGGATGCAATTTTCAGAAAATTCAGGAACTATGTCCAGACGCACATTGAGATGTTCTGAAAATAAAGCTTTCTTCCATATATATGGACAAAGGTGTAAATTGCTGAGAAATGCTGGTGGCAACATGTACTTTTGGTTTCCTGAAATGGTACCATGTTTTCCTCGTTCCCACTGACTCACTCACTCATTCATACACTCACTCACTCACTCGCTATATCTCTCGATGGACCAGATTGAAAGATTAGCAAAACAATGACGGACTACGACATTCTCGATCTAAAATCATCTGTACTCTGGCAAAATCTACCAAAAAGAAGTGGCAGCAGCAGTCTGCTGAGTACTGCTTATTTTGCAAAACATGAGAGCATACCCATCGCGTGTATTTTCTGAAAAACCTCAGTTTTGTGAGATCCATGGCAAAAGCAGACCAGGACTAAAGTGATGGGAAAGCGAGCACGTTGAAGGCAAAACGTGCTCATTCAAACGTGGTGAATGGAGAAAGAAACGTTTTCAATGGAGTTACTTCGCTGCTCGTACCTCTGACCAATTCGACTTGGAAAAGTTTCCTTTCCTTGGCTTCGAGAACCAGGACTGTATTAAAAGATCGAAAGATTCGCATAGAACAGAAAGGAAAAAGAAGTTTATCGCCGTTGGTATATCGTTCTTCATTTACGTTCATGATTGGGCTTGTTTAGCGTCCTTTCTATGAAGTTGATGATGCGGTGCTGATCTTCATTCCTACACCCTCAGCCAGGAGTGCCTCAGGAGAGTGCGCAGCCATGTGGCAAACGTAGCATGTAGTCTCATGCTTCGTTCCCACAGAGTAGCACTCATTTATCGACCTTAGAAGGAAGAAGGGCAGTGACTCAGACCAGAGCTTGAACTCCAGAACTATCGGTTCTGAGTTCGATGCTCAATCAACTGAGCAACCACGGCTTTTCAAGTATAATGCCAAACTTGGTTAAATTCTGGAGCAAATATATCCTGAAGGAAAGTATATTGTAACAATGAAGAATAGGCGGTAGCACAGCGGTATCGACATAACGCGTTGTTGCAGGTTCCTCAGTTTGGCCACTACGAAGTATTTTAGACCGCATAATGGCGCCGCAAAAATCATAACCCATTATTGGCAGTTGGCCGAGATTAATAACAGAAACTACTCCAAAATTACCCATAAACTCTAATAGGCTTTCGTTATTATTGCAAACGTACCATCGATTTCGACCATGCTTTATTCACAGATCATGGCGTTGATCACAATCGTCAGGAAAAAATAAATCGTGGATCGCAAGAATACGACAGCTGAGATTATCGATGAGAGTGTGCAGAAAACATGGACGGAGAAAAGCAGATTCCAAATTATTAAAACCTGGTTATCGATTTAAAATAGTTTTACTAACTGAATTTTGTGTGTGACAAAAGCATGACACTTGTCATGCATAAAAATCTGTTCCTTCCAAAATCGATGAAGTTTAGATTGGATCAGTCAAAATTTACGGAAAATCAGTTAACAAATGTCAAAATCTTTAAACTTCTGCAGCTGCATGAAAAAAATATGTTCTGTAGGTGAGAATGTGAAATAAAATTTGTAAATGTGAAAACCAGACAAGATTTTGGTATAAAATACATAAGGTCATATGGCTCGGTTGGTATAGCAGATTGCCTCAGTTTTCTATTTCAGTCGCACCTGTTCTTTAGTGCCTTAAACCATTGAATTGGGAAGATGATTATTCTTAGAAAAAAATTTTGAATGAATGGAATTTTAAGGCCATACCTTTTTAAATAAGTTGCTTGCATCTAATGGGCATTACGCTAGTTTAAACTGAATATTGAATAAAACGTAGTAGCCTTTTTATGCATATCGAGAATAAACGTAGTTATAACGTTGTTCCAATATTTTCATTATCATTTGATGAA